CAGGTGACGAAACGCATGGGATAAGTTTTCCTTTTGTATTTATTGACACACACAAATACACACACACACACACACGCACACACACACACACACACACACACACACATATATATATATATATATATATATATATATATTAATAATTTAATAAACTACAAAACTTTTGAAAAGCAGCACTGCGACCGATAAAGTAAAACAATTTTTTTTTATGAAAGCTTACCTGTATTATAAATATTGTATATAAAAATGTAACTGCATTGTAGCTGCGTATTATTATTTGTCTCTCTCTTTCTCTTTCCTATCTATCTCTCTCTCTCTCTCTCTCTCTCTCTCTCTCTCTCTCTATATATATATATATATATATATATATATATATATATATATAAGGGAAATCAAGGGCAAAGTATAATTTTTTTTGCGTGAGGCGTTTCGTCCTTTAGGACTTCATCGGATTAATGCATCACTTTAAGTTGATGCGACTACACATGTGCACGAAGAGGAGGGGAAATTGAAAATTTTAAATTCAATTTATCGGAAGGCGTTTTGATTTTTGTTAGTATTGCTCGTTGCAGTGTCGAATTGTTGGTGTGCGTTCAAAATTATGAGGAGTGTTTATCCCATGCCATTGCTCTTGTGCATCCAATGAAAAACCCGCAGATGATATCGGCCAAGACAAAGATTTAAACAGCAAACGATGTGAAGCGCGTCTTTAAGGCTTTTTTCCCCACCAATATTGCGTATCATATACAAATGTTGACATCTTTCTCCACCTGACACTGTCATTTCTTGGTACGTCATGCCTCATATCTTTGAAATAATTTTCTTCACGACTCGACTATTTTGTTCCATAAAAATCCAAACTTATATAATTGCACGGGGATATAACAGAAATGTAGAAGGATGTTGAGAGTAACATAGACTGAATGCGTGAGCAACGACGAAGTTTTAGAGAAAATGGAAACAGAAAGGAAACTTATACTTAACATCAGGAAGTGAAAGTTGAAATTTCTAGGGAACATAATGAGGAAAAAGGGCTTTGAATATTTGATACTAACAGGGTTTACTGAAGGTAAGATGCACAGAGGAAAACAACGTATAACAACAAAAAGATTTATTAATAGCTGCAAAAGACCGGAAATTGGGAGAATCATGATCACCTACGTCCTGAAGGGACACGGCATATATAAGAAGAATAATCCTGACAAAAAGTTGTCAATGTAAATGCAATACTTTAGCGATGTAAACAATTGCGAAAAATAGATGAATGCAAATTTGAGAGGGGGACAAATCCAATAATTCTTTATTTATATAAAGCACTAGCAGTAGAGCCCAGCGTTGCCCAGGGATATAACAGTAAGAGATAGATCAAGTATCGACCATCATAAAGACTGAAAATTAAAATTGACAAAGGTTATTGTTTAAGGTTGACGGACATGCATGTCTTAATTAGTTTTTTTTTTTTTCAAACAAAAACATTGTTTTCAATCGTTATGAGTCTACCGATTGAATAGAATTTTATTATAAACAATTGTCTTGTAAATGGGATTTTTAAAGGATTCTGAATGTAAAAATAAAGAAAAAAGTGTGCAAGACATTATTGTCTTGCACACTTGCACACTTCCTGCCAAAAAAAAGTGAAGTTTTGTTGAAATCGGTTGAAAAATGTAGGAAATATGATCTCATATATGAACGAACACACACACACACACACACACACACACACACACACACACACACACACACACACACACACACCTGGGTTTTATAATAAGTATAACTCGATATGAGTTGTCCTCCTTTCATTCTCGCGATGCCTCTTAATCGTGTTTTCAAATTGATTTCGTGCAAAAACAATTGTGTTATTCCAATTTTTGGCGCTGTCAGACCCACCGCAAGGTAATTTTACGTAGTCCTGTGAAGTTTAGTTGAAATCGATAGAAAAATGTAGGAAATCCGATCAATATATAAACGTACACACACACACACACACACACACACACACACACACACACACACAACCTGGGTTTTATAATAAGTATGATTAATGGTACATAGATTTGATTTTCTTTTGATTGCTTCTAACAAACTATTCTTTTTTTTTCTCAAACTCTGTTTATATTTTTGGAAGGTATCTATCACAATTACAATGTGTATTTTGTATCATATTTTCGTTAGTCTGTTATAACATATCCCAGATAGTTAAATTACTGTTCCTTCTTGATTCTGAGATTTTGAATTCGTAGTTCACATCTTGGTTGGTTACTCTTGCTAATGACTATATATATTGTCTTCTTCTTCCTGCTTTTGCTTACTATAGTGTCTAGGATTTTCTCTGTTCATCTGTGTATCTTAGATTTTTCCCGCCAGTCATAAATCCTGGTAGAACATCACATTTTCTTAAGATCATCTGCATATATAGGTTGAATAAATTCGTTGAGAAGGGGTATTCTTGTCCCACGCCTCTTTCTATTTTTGTCCGTTTGTACTTTTGGATGCCGCCCCACCAAAAAAACAAAATAAAAAATAAAACAAAACAAAGAACAACAAAATTATTACACCCCCCCCCCAAAAAAAAATCAGTAGATTAACGTACTGGACAATGCTAAAAGACGATATGTAAAGGGTGCAGGATACGTGAAATTTCCTAACAAAAGGGAGTGTCTGGAAGTACTGAAAATGGGACCTTCAGATCTCGTTGGGATATTGAATGATACAAATGAGTAAGATGAGTAAACGAAAATGAAATTCTATACGTATAATTACAAGACAGATAGAAGCAATCGCTAGTTCTAAAAGTGTGGGCATGTTTGCGTAGCGGATACCTGAACAGAAAAACGGAATCTCTCATCTCTCCAGCATAGAAACAATATTCAAGAGTTATTCAAACCAACGCAAAAGGAAAAGTAGGTATTGATTTTGTGAAGAAAAACATAAGTGACCGAAACAAGTTGACTCAAAAATGTATATAAAACAGTTATGAAAGAGAAGGGACAGTCATAGAACGAGAATTGTGCAAAATTCTAGGTTCAACTAAGTAAAACAGTGGTATAACCGTACACCTGAAATTAAAGCAAAAAGCAAATGAATGATTATAGGAATTTGAAATACAGGCAGACCAGCCAATCTAGGCGAGATCTGATAGTCATAAAGCAGAAAAAGAAAAACCCATCAGGATGTAGACGTGTCTTTGCTAATGGGCCACTGGGTAATGGCGGAAGAATTGGAAACATTATAAAAGACAGGACCTTGTCAAAATAACTGTGAATGATAAATGTTACAACTGCGTCTGCAATTGGAATCGAAGTTGGATATATTATACAGGCTGTCCCAAAAAATTGACATTTCGTAGGCCAATAATTTTGGCAATTCATGTTGAAATAACCTCAAACTTTTACAGAGTGTATAGAAACAGATCAAGATTTCATATTTAAAGTTTTATTTTTGTTCTGGGTTTACGTTGAGTCATGCTGTTCACTCCCAAACAGAAGTTATTTTACGTCTTGGAAATATGCTCGTACACAGTCACCCAAGACTACGCAGCGTGTCTTCAATGCAAAATTTGGAAAAACTTCATTAACTGGCAAACAAATTTGGACTTGTTACCAAAAATTTAAAGAGGAACACTACTTATGCAGGACTAAAGTATCTGGTAGACCATCAACAATATCAGGCGTGTTTGGCAAGAGCTTAACAACCGACTTGACGTCTGCTGTGTCACAGGCGGTGCACATATTGAACCATTATCAAATCGGTTCTATAATAAAGTTACGATGTTCAACTCCTAAATTGTTCAATTTCGTTGAGCTAGATTTAGTTTTTTTCAAGATAATTGCTTTTAAAATGATACCAAATTGTTTGGAACACCCTGTAAATTCGAGGTGGTATTGAGATTATTACTTCCCACTCGGCATTAATCGGGGTCAATGGGGTTACTGAGAAAAACGGTACAGAATTGAGGAGATTCGTTTCAGTCAACAGCCAGCAACAAACAGCAGACATGTTGTATGAGATGAAATACATGAATTAGAAATCATAATGAAAAATAATATAATTAAGAATTCAGAATTAAGGATAACATAGCCAAAAACGAAATTGATAATATTGATACTATTTACATTATTCTCAAGGACACAGTGGATAAAGGCGTTAGTTAGATCCAGTGACAAGAAAGAGTGTGAGTTCAATACCTGGTTAAGGCAGTGGAGAACCTGGAGAGGGAATTAAACAGGAGATAACTGATAACTGACATTCGTTAGACATGACACGTGGAGCTAGAACAGTCTACCCCAGTGAGCGAAATAAAGGGTTCAGTTCGACATTCCAACCACCTGAAGAAGGCCGGAGCGTACAACGGTCGAAACGGTGTTTTAAATATGGCGACAAAGATGAGAACAATAGTCCGAATAATGTAAATAGTGTACATAATACCTCATGTAAGAAATATAGACAGATAATATTGATATTATTATGATATTGATATTGTTATGCATTCGTGTATTTGTTCAGAATTTGTAAACTCATGTGTTATTTAGTACTGTAACGCTATTTATAACCTTTAGATTTCTTGTAAATAGGATAAAGTTGCGAGACATTTTGAAGTATTTATTCTATGAAATTTGTCACTTGACCCACTCCACATAACATTCGACTCGATTGACATACGTTTTATATTTTCCTCGTCAGTGAGCGGCCATTTAGGAAAAGTGATTTGCCAATAAAAAGTACAGATGAAGCAGCAATAGGAAGAGGAAAGACTTTAACCTACATGTGTCTGTTGGACTGTGAGGAAGCCATAATTGTCGGACCTGCCTTAGTGAATGGAACACGTAAATAGTAACAAATGAAGAGATCGATCTTTTTTGCTTGCCACCATAAAGCGAGTATCGCTCAGTTTATCAGAAATAAGTTGGGGGTTGGAGAGAAACTGTAACAGTTCTGATACTGCTTCGTCAAATTTTCTGCTCAATTGGTGGAAAGAATAAAAGGGGTTGGTATGGCATTTAAACCTGAAGAATGGAAAAGTAGAAGATAACATAATGAAAGAAAAGTTTGAAAGAACGGAGAAAAAAAATCTGGAAGAATAAATGAAGAAATAAGAAGAAGGAGAATGAATAATGTAAAAGAAACGAGTGAATATAAAATGAAGAAAAGAAACGTTTAAAATTCATGAAAAAAAATAAAAGACTGAATGAGAACGAAATAAATAAAAGTAAAATTGAATTACAGAGAATCTATAGAAGAAAGAAATAAAAAAATATGAAGAGGAAAATATAAAAATTTGAAGGGAATAAGAGTAGAAAAGAAAAGGGAGAACGAGAGTAGAAAAGAAGAAAATGTCTGTATGAATGAAGAAAGAAGACTGAATAAATGAAGGTTCTATGGATGTAAACATAATAAAAACAAAAAGGCTTCAGCGAAAGGTGAAAAATATTTACGATGAAAATGAATTGATGAAAAAAAAAACGAAAATTAAACAATAAAAACTGAAAAAATGTAAAAGTAACAAGGAGGATCATGGGAAATGTAAGAATACAACAACGAGAGAAGGAGGGAAAATGGAACCTGGCTAGATCGCTAGCAAGCTTCATTTTGTCGACTTCTCTCGTTAGAGCTATATAGCTAGCTCGATATAAATATATTCATATAAGTATAAACTCTCTCTCTCTCTCTCTATATATATATATATATATATATATATATATATATATATAAAGAGAAGAAAGAGGAGGAAGAGAGATAGATATATACGAACAAACTCAAATATGAAGTTCAAATATATATATATATATATATATATATATATATATATATATATATATATATATATATATAGATAGATAGATAGATAAAAAGAAAGGAAAGTGTATGACAGGAAATAGCTCTCGAGAAAAGAAAGAAAGGAGTTTGAAAAAAAAATAATGGAAAAAAAGGACAATGGCAAATTGATAAGCATGGGAGACGGTATTTCTGAAGATGAAAGAAAGAAGAAATAAACAAAGGGAAAGACTGAGAACAAAGAGAAAATGGAAACTAGAGAAAAAAATATGGAAAATAATGTAGAAGAAACAACTTCATTAAAAATTAATTCAAGAAAAGGAAACGAAGAATAAATACTTGAAGGAAAAAAACCTTAAGTCCGATTGGAAATATAATAACAGTTAAGAGAAAAAACGTATTAGAAAAATAGATTCTAAGTAAAATGTTCCGCAAGTAGTAATAGATTTAGAAAGAGTTTTGACAAAAAACCCCCAAAAAAACAGGAATGTAAGACGATGTGAACAAATAGGGTGAAGAAAGGAATAATTAGTGATGTTTTAGCTCCGGCATAAATGACAATAAAACGGTGAAAGAAAATAGAGAAGAATTACAAGAGGAAAGACATGCTGATAAAAAAGAATAAGAAAAAAAGATATAAAGAAAGAGACATAAAAAGCAGAACTGAGAAATAGAATAAAAGAAAAATGGTGGTCAAAGAAGTGTAAAAAAAAAAAAGAAAGGACAAAAAAAAAAAGAAAGATTGAAAAGCAACAGTGTTGGGGAAAAGACAGCAGTAAAATGAAAGTGCATTTTATTTTTTTTATTTATTTATTTTTTTTTTTTAGCTTTGCCAAAGGAATGAAATGTAGAGCGACAAGCGTTTAGTACCGGAGCTCGTTCAAAGGTGGGTGCGTTTGTATCTGTGGCTAGTGACTTTGTGGCGGGAAGGAAGACAAAACGCAAAAGCACAAGAGTAGCCATGAAAACTTCGTCGGTTATAAATGTCTTCGCTTTCTATTTTATGCGCGAATTTCAATGGAAACTTTATCGACACTCACCCTCCACTGATTCTCTACTTAAGTTTGCAACTAATGTAAAACGATACTCGGGCGTTTAATGGCGAACGGCTGGCTGCCTGATCCGACAGAGCCTCCCCATCAGAAATAAATTTCATCCCCCGTTAAGTCTGATTCCTTTCGATATTTAAAGAAACGTTGTCAGCTCCGCTAGCTTGTTGTACAGAGTCGCACACATACATTTTACACAAGAATTCTCTCTCTTTCATCCTTTTCGTTTCTCTCTCCCTCTATTTATCATATCAGCCCGGTTATGGCTACACGCGGACAATCACCACAAATTATACCTCGATGTATACACCTATACGTGAAAGCGTTGATTCTGTTTTCTTTTCATTATTTTTATTTGACATTGTCAAGGATGACGATGGGCGCATCATCTATTTTTTTTCTGCTATTGACAGGGCATGTAAGGCAGTTTTGGCTGATAGGTTTTCCCATTCTCTTCTCCGTCGTTCATTATAGTTTATCAGTCACATAAACAATTTTTAAACGTATGCAGAGATGTGACAGTGCGATAAGAGAGGTGGATTTATGTATTTTCCTATGGCACTACGACATGGATAAACATAATCTCATCGATTTCGTTTTCCCTGAAGATAAGTGTTACTCAGATTGAAACCTTTATACTTCTTTTTTGTTTTTTTTAACAGTGATGTACAAGGCCTAAGAGCTAAATCAGGAAGACGGTTCTAGAGTAAGTGTCACAGTTTTGGAGGTATGTGGCGAAGATAAGACACTAGACTTAAAAGATTATAATGATCAGGAAGGCATTTCTTGGAAATCGGTTCTACAAAGCAGTGGTCCGTGGGAAGGAACTGCTTGAGTAGCACTTACATCCCACCAGTGGAATACGAAGGGAATGTGGATGGTTCGTTACAATGTGCGTGTCATGGAGAGTCTAAGCTGTGAAAGTTAGAATTGCTTGAGGTAGGGAATATAGTTCTTCGGAACATTTTCCATAGAAACATTGATAGAGAAGCGAGTGATTTGTGATTATTTTACAATGATGTTCATCCCGTACAAAGACGGAAAGCTGCTGAAGGTCGAGTGTTATGGAGTAAGAAATATAGTTTATGTGCGAGGAAGATAACAGTTTAGACCTAGACTTGAGTAACTTTTCAAATCCAAACATTTCCAGAACTATTTTAGTTATTTATTTCAATATTACAATGATGTTCAACCTGTTCAAGGCACGCGAGCCACACGAGGTAGAGGTTACAGAGAAAGATGCAGCGTAAGAACAACGAGAGGGAGCAACGAGAGTCTTGAGACGTTTTGTCTGTGAGAAAGGTATAGTTTGGAAAATAGTTCATCACCCACAATGATGTGGGTGATGTTTTTGAACTCTGCCAAGCCTGGAAAATGAAGACTGTGTAGCTCATCTCCATATATGACAGAAGCAGTGCATTTCCGGCCTGGTTTAGCTCTTGTAAAGGTAGAATATAGCAGGAGGAGGCAAGCACTTACTTGCGCGGAACGGTAAACCGAAAACTTTTATAGCACCTTTATCAAGGGATCCTATGTACGTGAAGTCTGGGTTGAATTTATCTCCAAATATTACAAATTCAGTTCATCTCCAAATATTCTTAAACACACTTAGGCTCTTAAAATCATATGAAAAGCTATAGTGAACACAAACACAAAACACGCACACACAAACACGCACACACACACACAAACAGACACACAGGTCATAAATACACAATTATTTTACTTGCATAGAAAAAAATTACAAAAATATAGCAATATGTTGATATATAAATATGTATCTATTCATCAAATATATCCACCATCTAACAAATCTGTACAATATGTGGATATATAGATATGTATCTATTCATCAAGTATTTCCACCATCTAACAAGTCTGTCTAATATGTGGATATATAAATATATATCTGTTCATCAAGTATATCCACCATCTAACAAGTCGGCACAATAGGTGGATATATAAATATGTATCTATTCATCAAATATATCCACCATTTAACAAGTCTGTCCAAATCGTACTAGATTTTAGAAGATATTGTCTGTTCCCTCGCTTTCTTTTCTATTTTGTATTTTGTTTCTTTTTCGAATGATTAAATTTTAAATCTGTTTTTTCTTTTTTCTGTTTTATTTTTTAATTCATTTGTTTTAGTTTCTCTATTTTTTCTTTTTGATTTGTCTTTTTTGATCGTTTGCCTTTTTTTAAAAAAATTCCAGTATTCTCCTGATTTATTATATTCATTATACGGTTAATTATATCAATCTTGTACACCCACCACGTAATTGCGTACACACTTTCACCGCTTGGATGATGACATTTCACAAGATTATATTACGACATGCCATTTAATCTAAATAATTTCTACGCTCATGAAAACATATCAGGGCTAAAAACCTAAACGCCCACAGAAAGATATGTACAAATATACAACAGAAGAAAAAATGCATTATCAGAGCAGGAAGAAGAAGAATAGCTGACCGTTGGTAAAGTCAGAGGGAATTCCGAGACAGCGAGGCCTCAGTCCCCTGTAGCCCCCAAAAGAAAAGGCACGAACAATCTCACTGCCTTTACAAGTTTTAAGGGCGGCGCTCTGGTCATAATTTCAATGGACCAACTACGAAAACGGTACGGGCCTTCACCCAAAAAGAAAGAGAAACTCTTTCACATTAAACAACAAATTCAAGTCAAACAGAAAAAGGAATATTTTCCGCTGGGGTGAGGGTCCCCTCGTTCTCTGTCCCGTCTTTTCCGCTGGGGTGAGGGTCCCCTCGTTCTCTGTCCCGTCTTTGCCGCTGGGGTGAGGGTCCCCTCGTTCTCTGTCCTGTCTTTGCCGCTGGGGTGAGGGTCCCCTCGTTCTCTGTCTCGTCTTTGCCGCTGGGGTGAGGGTACCCCTCGTTCTCTGTCCCGTCTTTGCCGCTGGGGTGAGGGTCCCCTCGTTCTCTGTCCTGACTTTGCCGCTGGGGTGAGGGTCCCCTCGTTCTCTGTCCCGTCTTTGCCCGCTTGGGTGAGGGTCCCCTCGTTGTCTGTCCAGTCTTCGCCGCTGGGGTGAGGGTCTCCTCATTCTCTGTCCTGTCTTTGCCGCTGGGGTGAGGGTCCCCTCGTTCTCTGTCCCGTCTTCGCCGCTGGGGTGAGGGTACCCTCGTTCTCTGTCCTGTCTTTGCCGCTTGGTGAGGGTACCCTCGTTGTCTGTCCCGTCTTTGCCGCAGGGGTGAGGGTACCCTTGTTCTCTGTCCTGTCTTTGCCGCTGGGGGTGAGGGTACCCTCGTTCTCTGTCCCGTCTTTGCCGCTGGGGTGAGGGCCCCCCTCGTTTTCTGTCCTGTCTTTGCCGCTGGGGTAAGGGTCCCTCGTTTTCTGTCCCGTCTTTGCCGCTGGGGTGAGGGTCCCCTCGTTGTCTGTCCTGTCTTTGCCGCTGGGGTGAGGGTCCCCTCGTTGTCTGTCCAGTCTTCGCCGCTGGGGTGAGGGTCCCCTCGTTCTCTGTCCCGTCTTTGCCGCTGGGGTGAGGGTCCCCTCGTTCTCTGTCCCGTCTTTGCCGCTGGGGTGAGGGTCCCCTCGTTCTCTGTCCTGTCTTTTCCGCTGGGGTGAGGGTCCCCTCGTTCTCTGTCCTGTCTTTGCCGCTGGGGTGAGGGTCCCCTCGTTCTCTGTCCTGTCTTTTCCGCTGGGGTGAGGGTCCCCTCGTTCTCTGTCTCGTCTTTGCCGCTGGGGTGAGGGTACCCTCGTTCTCTGTCCCGACTTTGCCGCTGGGGTGGGGGTCCCCTCGTTCTCTGTCCTGTCTTTGCCGCTGGGGTGAGGGTCCCCTCGTTGTCTCTCCAGTCTTCGCCGCTGGGGTGAGGGTCTCCTCATTCTCTGTCCCGTCTTTGCCGCTGGGGTGAGGGTCCCCTCGTTCTCTGTCCCGTCTTCGCCGCTGGGGTGAGGGTACCCACGTTGTCTGTCCCGTCTTTGCCGCTGGGGTGAGGGTACCCTCGTTGTCTGTCCCGTCTTTGCCGCTGGGGTGAGGGTACCCTTGTTCTCTGTCCCGTCTTTGCCGCTGGGGTGAGGGTACCCTCGTTCTCTGTCCTGTCTTTGCCGCTGGGGTAAGGGTCCCCTCGTTTTCTGTCCCGTCTTTGCCGCTGGGGTAAGGGTCCCCTCGTTTTCTGTCCTGTCTTTGCCGCTGGGGTGAGGGTCCCCTCGTTGTCTGTCCCCTTTGCCGCTGGGGTGAGGGTCCCCTCGTTCTCTGTCCTGTCTTTGCCGCTGGGGTGAGGGTACCCTCGTTCTCTGTCCCGTCTTTGCCGCTGGGGTGAGGGTCCCCTCGTTCTCTGTCCCGTCTTTGCCGCTGGGGTGAGGGTCCCCTCGTTCTCTGTCCCGTCTTTGCCGCTGGGGTGAGGGTCCCCTCGTTGTCTGTCCAGTCTTCGCCGCTGGGGTGAGGGTCCCCTCGTTCTCTGTCCCGTCTTTGCCGCAGGGGTGAGGGTACCCTCGTTCTCTGTCCCGTCTTTGCCGCTGGGGTGAGGGTACCCTCGTTCTCTGTCCCGTCTTTGCCGCTGGGGTGAGAGTCCCCTCGTTTTCTGTCCTGTCTTTGCCGCTGGGGTAAGAGTCCCCTCGTTTTCTGTCCCGTCTTTGCCGCTGGGGTGAGGGTCCCCTCGTTGTCTGTCCTGTCTTTGCCGCTGGGGTGAGGGTCCCCTCGTTGTTTGTCCAGTCTTCGCCGCTGGGGTGAGGGTCCCCTCGTTCTCTGTCCCGTCTTTGCCGCTGGGGTGAGGGTCCCCTCGTTCTCTGTCCCGTCTTTGCCGCTGGGGTGAGGGTACCCTCGTTCTCTGTCCCGTCTTTGCCGCTGGGGTGAGGGTCCCCTCGTTCTCTGTCCCGTCTTTGCCGCTGTGGTGAGGGTCCCCTCGTTGTCTGTCCAGTCTTCGCCGCTGGGGTGAGGGTCCCCTCGTTCTCTGTCCCGTCTTTGCCGCTGGGGTGAGGGTACCCTCGTTCTCTGTCCCGTCTTTGCCGCTGGGGTGAGGGTACCCTCGTTTTCTGTACCGTCTTCGCCAACATCTACAAGGCATTTACCGCTCTACATCAATCAAAATCAGTCACTCACACAGCATCCAAACGGAAAAAATATATCCAAAATATTCCCTTGTCATCAACTTTTAAAACTTCATCCACAAAAACACCACCATCTTCATCGACTACCAAGCCTTCTCAATTATCCCATAAATGGAATCGACTAAAAGAAACAGATGTCACGAAGCTGTGTCACAATCAGAAAAAAAATATCAAGACTCTGTACCTTCCTGGGGAAGATGTTTGACGAGTTTCTCGGGAAGAAGGGAAAGGGTTTTTGCCCAAACCTGCAATTCCAAAGACCTAAAATGCTGTGGAACTTTAAGCAAATAAGGAGCAAAACATTGAGATCCCTGCGAACATTCTTAAAGCCAATAGAGGGCTTACAGTTGTGCGACCGGGCCTGGGTACGTGCCAGCTATGGAGCATGTTTGAGAAGGTCAACACTACCTTCAAATGATTGCTCCCAGCGGCCTACATGTGGGAAGGTGTTCTTTCAAATGGTATATATATCTGGACTCTCCCATCGTTGTCCACGTCTGAACGTACAGAATCTTAGTTCTCAGATTCTTGTTACATGTGATTTGTTTATAATGGTGAAAGCTTGTGCGGAACCAGCACATGTTTTGGAAGGGCCGAATACAGAGAACTGGTGCACATGCTTTCCAAACGAGCCACTTCAGATTTTGAATTCAGAATTGTCCTTCTTCTTCACCGTTTGATACCCAGTGCTGTAGGACCCAGACTCTCCTGATATTTACGAATAGGTTGGGGAGAATTAATGAATTCTTACGTATCCCAAGTGTAATTGAATGTAGCAACATTTATTGGCATTAGAATCTCTGTATAATATCAAATAGATACACCTTCGCCTGGTATAGACTTCATCAGGACAGTAATCAATAAGAACTGAAATCACTCTTGAAGCGAATTGGTTTGTGAGAATAACTTTCATTGTATTACGGCAATATTCTTATGTACAATTGATGGCAAAATAGACGTTGTCCAACAAAGACGTCATGCACATCGGCGGGTTGAACTGAAAGATGGCATTAAACCTACCGGGTGCTGATTAGCATTCATCCGATGTTGTTGACTAACACCGATATGTAAACACTTGATAAACGCAGCTGAATGTGCACGTGTGGGAAAACCTGTGACAGTCAGGTATATACACAGTGAAATTATGTCTCATTTCTCTATATTCAAATATACAATGAAACGTAACACAACGCACACGATTATTATATATATATATATATATATATATATATATATATATATATATAATATTGAAGTCAACTCTTAGAAGCGTCAGGCTGTTTCATGCTAGGCGCAATCGTCAGGCTGCTTGACGATTGCGTCTAGCAGGAAACAGCCTGTCCCCTTTGAGTGTTGACTTCAATGTTCACTTTTTATATTTACATAGGCTATATCTCCGGTATTAACCACCCATAAATATGGCACACTTTAAAATTATATTTCTTCACACACACACACACACACACACACACACACACACACACACACACACACACACACACATATATATATATATATATATATATATATATATATATATATATATATATAGTGTAGAAAATTAATTTTACAAAGTTTGGGATGGATTTCTAACACCAAAACAAAATCCTTCGTTTTTGAGTTATTAAGTTTAAAGAAAGTTTATATACATATGTGCATGTCTGTGCAGCTTATAACAGTTGGATAAACACGTATAGTATAGTTGTATAGTTTTAGAGTCATATATTTTGTGAGCGTGCACCTCGTAATATCAATGTTGCTTGAATTATAGCATCATTAACCAAAGAAAACGATTTAAAAACATAGGAATTTAGAAGCATGAAAAAATACGAATTGGAACAATTTATTTGAAGTGAACAAAATTATTTTATGAATACAAAATGTTGACGTCTTTTTAAAATGAAAATGGAGCATCTGAATGTATTTGGTGCGATGATCTTTTATTGTTTGGAAGCCGCAAGACCATAACCAGTTTTGAAAGACCGGATATTATGACTATATTTTATAT